CTATTTTTGGAATACCTTGCAACTTTTGGGGGAGTTTTCAAGGCTAGAAATACTAAATCCAAATAACTTCTTGCAAAATCAGCTCTAGGCTGGAAAACATCCGGACAAGAATGAGCAGAAGCCGAGCTTGATTTAGCTGGTCAGGCTTGGTATGGGTATTATAATCTAACCCCCAGTCCAACCGCTAAATGCACCTCTGGCCAGTAAAATGCTCTCCATTAGTATATCGGCTAGTGTATGCGCCTGTTATTCCAAAAGTTGGACAATGTTGTTCTACCACGCGAAAGCAAGATGCAGCTCCCCGACAGAGAGTTAATTTTTGTCATGAATGGAAAATTTCCCCTGCGATCCGTCAATAGATTTGGTGTCTGGCGGGTAAAAGGACCATCGCTTGGCCTTTTACTCGAGTTTTAGCTGTATAACAAGTGAGTTCTACCAGGCACTTAGGAATTCCAATGAGGAGCGATGATGTTAATAGGACACGCTCCTTGTGTGATATGGCGGTAGATGTAGTGCAGGAGCAAACCGTCCTTATTGTCAAACTAAATTGCCTATCCCTCTCAGGACCCATCTTGGGGCGAAATACGTCAATATTGCTGGTAGGATAAGTTCATTCATCCCGCTATTTGATCGATCAGACCTGATGAGCATACTTCTGTAGAAGTGGTGAACGGTGACAATTCATAGAGCCAAGCCTCCAACCAGACGATGTGATGATCATGTGTAAACACCGTCTCTGTTAGTATATCGGTTAGTACACGCGCCTGTCATACCAGGTCTCTATTAGATTTCACCGCGCGAAAGCGGGGTTCGACTCCCCGACAGAGAGTGCGCGGATATGATAACGTCTTTTTTTCGGAGAACTGATTGGAAGTCGGAACCCAAGTGGAAGGAAACCGAAAGAGTCTCCCTCTACATGGTAACTTATACACACTCGTATTCACTGATTTGGAATACTCAAGATCTTCACTGCTTCCGCACCTGGAGCTGAAAGCTAGCTCTGTGCACGGGGGGTAAAGATAGTATTGGAACTTGTGGTTTGTGTCATTGCTAATCGAAGCCCATGAAATATCCGAGTGTGATCGTGCCACCGCTTAGGCTTCATCCCCCTTTGAGTCACTCGGCGTATTATCTATTGTTCTATATCAAATAAATATTGTAGACTGTCTGCTCGTAAAATTCGCTCCCTCGACCCCCAATAAATAATCTCTCATGTTTATACAGTTCCTTCAACAAATTGCTCAATAAAATTTCGAGAATTGCGCCGTTTCTGCCTTCGGCACTGGAACGAAGGTGTGGAGCGGTGCTACTTGGAGGGCTGCATCAAATCGTTGCATACTCGGATTACCAAGTCAGGAAAGGACATATCTATTTTTACACTTGACTCAGGGGTCGAAACATAGAGACGACATATAGAGATCTTGGAGTTGGCAACTTTGTACGCGTAATATGTCGGACTGCAGTGCTCATGCCTCAGGGACGCGTTTCACTGGGACTAAGCGTTTTAACCGTGGGCTGAGGCGTGCTCGGTGCGTCAGGCGTTGGTCAGGGGTCAGGGCGCTGTCTGATCGGAGCTGTGTGTGCTGCATTTTGACATGACGTCTGCTGTTATTGTTGTTGTCGGTCGTTCCCATGTTATTGCGTGGGTGTTTATGTTATAATGTGGGAATGGGAGCGGGACCGAGTACATATCCGGTTTTTGTGGGTTTAGATGAGGTTTTTCAATTGGGGACCGAGTCGGGTTGAAAGTGGATTAGGTGGTGCGCAAAGGTGTCATCATGATGCGCCGCTTTTGACTTGCTTAGCGACTGTATGTATTGGATCTTGGATCTCGGTATGAATAAGTCATACACAGTGCATAAATATATACAAAACAAATTAGAAACGAAGGTCGAAGGTCGAAGGTCGAAGTGATAATAATATGTACTATGAAATGCACTGTGTTATAAGATTAAGCGAGTGCGAATGAGTCGTACAATGAAGCGAAGCCGAGATTGAAATTGTGGAGAACATTCTATGATGATCGATAACCAATGCGAATGTAATGAGTTGATATGCGGGGAGTGTCATGAGCAAGAATATTAAGAAAACGTGACATTCATGAAAAACGTGTAGCACAGCAGGTACAACGGCGGGAGAGTCTCAAACTCTCTCGAGATTGGACTTCTATTGGCATAGTGATGAGCGGAGAGCTTGATCATGAAAGAGGAAAGGAACATACAATCAGAGCTTTGTATTCACTCAACCTCTCGACAACCTTCAGCTCAACGCCACGAAGGGCGCACGCCATTTTCAGCGAGCCCCAGAGCCTCAACTTCTTCCGCACATCCGCTTCCCATAGATACACGACAAGAGTCTTTAAACTCTCTTTCTGCCTCACGAATTCGATCATGGGAGAAAGTGCCGTGTTCCTGTCAATGCAGACATACATCTCCTTCAATGGTGCCGGCTGCACCTCTGCAAGGAAGTGCTTAAACACCGCCGGAGAAACGTAAGGTGTACGAAATGCAACAGAATGCAGGTTGGTACACCTCTGGAAGTGCTTAAGCTCCGAGGGAGTGGTACAAGACGGCAGGATCAACGACTGGAGTGAAGGCCCATGTATGGTCGTAAGATGGTCGAGCAACCTGGCTGATGCGTCAGAGTCGGACAGACGCTCAAGGTCGAGCGCTGTTAAAGTATCCTTAGAATTGTCAAGGAGCCATCGGAGTGCGTCGACCGAAGGGGACTGCTGAAAGTTGATACGGAGATGTGTCAAATTTAAGCCGTGTTCAGGGTTCGACGCGGTGGGCGCAGAGGCAGGAGGTGTGCCTGATATTGATAGATATTTGAGCGTGGGTAAGGACGCGAGGAGTGGTGGAAGGATGAATGTGCTCGTGGACCAGTTGCTTAGGTGAAAAGAGGTGATCGGCGACTTGTTGAGCGTCTCGGCGAGGGAGAGGCTCAATTCGGAACGCCGGTGTTTCGAAGCGCCGTTTCCGGGCCGTGAACTGTCTAATTCTTCGATGATCATTCCGCCGTCCAGGCTGTTCTCGTTGCCGTGTTCAACGTTCCCCGAGTCGTGACTGTCGCTACCGAAGACCGAGAGATTGATGCTGTTCAGTCTGGGACAGAGCGCAACTGCTGCGGCTAGGTGGTGTTGACGGAGTCCTTGGGGCTGGTTGTAGTCGAGAATGACACGGAGCGTGCGGACCGAGTTGGCCAAGGACGGTTGGCGAAGAGCACTGCAGAATGCATGGAAGTCGTGCTCAGAGCGGAGGACGACGTTGGCGAAAAGGAGACGCTGGGCTGGTAGAGACCATGCATTGCAGACAAGGCTGCATGATCGTAGAAGACGGCGGTCGGGATCACTGTCGGTGGTGAGGTAATCTGCCTCGAGGATGGTGTGAACAAGCTCAAGCGGAAGCGTACTTGCGAGGGACATGAGGAGGGGGGGGAATGGACATGTTATTGGTACGGGCTGTGGATTTATATATACTGGGGGTGAGTCGGATGAAACAGACGGAGGCGTGACCAAATCAAGAGATGTAGTCGGAATGCACTTAGGACACATATTCCATTCCTGGTTTACTTCACAATTGTTCCCTCGGACATCCACCCTTACGACCCTTCTCTTCTCATAACTGCTTTTGTATGACAGCCCTCCCCAACTCATTGCAACCCAGGAGCTTACCTTGAAGTATCCTCTCGCGGCAGTCAACCGCCACATCCAATTTACCACTCCAATTCTTAGTTAAAAGTCAATCATCTTGCCTCTCTCTCCCTCTTTCCTACCTTCAACCATCCGCTTTCTGCTACCATCCTGCGTGCTACATCAAAGGTTATCTACCCTTTCGCTCCCCTAGAACTCCAACGTAATATTACGAGATCCCACGATCGGATGCGGGCATACGGTGTGCTCGGTTCTTTGGCCACAAGCCCTTCGGTGTATTGACTGGCCCCATTATAGCCGCCGTTGAGACATGCTCCGTGACTCGGCTTGGCCTTGAGGAGCATGACACAATGTCAAAGCCAATGTTTCTTTTGTCTTTTGTTTCTTTTGTTCCCGGTACCTTTCCGGATTTCCACATGATGCGGCCCCTCCATTCTCGGCGTAACGCGCACCATCAACCTCAGCATAGGCAGGAAATGGTGATCAATTGATCGACCTTCTCATAACAGTGGAGTGCGAGCAGGAATTCAACACACTGACTCAAGTCGAGTTCATTTCCGTTTACGAACAGCGACTTGACAGATACGCTTTTCATTTGTCATGATGCATCACTCGAGCAATGCACGTCACACAGCGACCGTGTATCGTGTCAATATGTTGAATGTTCTAAGGCTTAACCATGATGGCAGGAGCTAAATGGTGATGTGTATGGCATGGCCCGCCGTCCTTTCGGCTGGGCACGGAGAAGCACTTCCAGAATACTTTTGTATATGCCACATATTAGGTGCGCTCAACGCGCGTGCTGCACGTTCATTTTCTTACGTGAAAATCGAAGATTCAAGAAACCGTGCGCAGTGGTCGGGGTGTATTCCTGGGACCGCTGTTTGTTGTGGTCGACGCTATTTTTGGAAATTCTAATGAGACTAACAACGTCAATGCTGCACAGGACCACTGAGCCGGGGTACATGGGCTCCATGGACAATAGATGTTGACTGTCGCTAACCTTGATTGCTCTCCCACTCACGATGAGCTGGGTCCCGTGGAATAGGTAACGACATGTTTTTTATGTTGTATGACGGATAAAGGATCATCGATCAGCCCTGAGACCTGAAAGATGGCTGTGCTGCTTTTTGTCTTCCGTCTTGCTCGCTTTCGACGACCCTTGCTAGGGCGGCAACTGATTGAATATGAGGTGGAAAAAAGACGTATTCCAATGTTCAATCTGGACACCACAGTGAATTGTCTATACAAAATGACACAACGGAGAGCTGCTCGATGCTAAGGCATGTTCCGCGCCGCTTACGACCAAAGCCCTAAGACCACCACCGCCGCCGCACCACCATCACTCACCGCCTTTCTTCTTGACATATCTGTGTTCTTCTAGGTATATCTGTGTGGGAAAAGTAACATGGCTATACTGTCTCCAGTCAAGCCTGGCGAATGGCGAACGCAGCATGCCTGAAGCGTGACGAAAAAGAACAAACCCAACCCGGCGCTTGCTCCACGCATTAGGCAAGCTAATTGGAGGGTGTGTTCCAAAAATATTCACAGGAGGTGATTAATAAGCCCATCGTCGAGAGAAGGTATCGAAGAGTCGGATACTTTAGGATATAGAATAGGGGGACGTTCCCCATGGAATGCATCGAAGGCATCTCCCACAGTTAATAGGTTTAGGCGCCAAGCCAGAGTAATAAACGTGTACACGAGCAAGACACGAGTACTATTCAGTACAGCGAGAGCCTCCGAGCGGGTCCAATATTCAATCATGAATCATTATCATTGATTAGCTCGGAAATCATAGGCGTCTCGGGTTTCTGATAGAAAGCAGTCAAAAAGGGTATCTGAGCTAAGGAGGAATATGGATGAATAAAAGGACAGCCTTATCTGGTTTTTGAGACGCCCTCCGATGAGTTAGAAAGGACAAGGAAGTCGAAGACTTTTGAAGGAAGTGGCGGAGATTGAGGCCACCTATGGGAACCTGGCAAGCTTCTATGTGTGTTCAATGGGCCCGCCAGGTTGACAAGAATAAACAAAGCGAGTAGGTCAACCGATGGATATTCTAATGGAAGGTTGTGCAATTTAGTGCGCTCGAAATTTCCAGGCGAGACCGCAAGGGCGGTTTCAGCGGATACAGCATCGTGGTGATTTAGGAGATTGGGGCGAGGTTTCCTCCGCTT